ATGCGCACAAGACAGACGCGCTTGGAAACCTTTTTTAAGCTCGGCTTTTAAGCTCTATCACAAGCCAGGCAAGTAAGTATAATTACGATTGATTTCGTGGCATTGAACACATTCTGTAATAATTAAACTCAAACTGCAAATGGCGCCCAACGATTGTTAAGCTTACTTGTAAAACTAAACAGTTTTACAGAAATAGGACAATATTGTAGTCACCAAGTCTCAAGTGATTAATATTTTCATTACATTTGTCATTCCGTTTGCAGCAACTTAGAATTATTCCTCGGAGGTATACCCACCATATAAGGTAAATATATATTCAGTATTTTGGTTACGTTTTTAATCGAATTGCCTGTATATGATATTTTGTTTTGAAATTATTCTATCCGATGATTTCTTAATGGTGCCTCCATTATTACAAAATATCAATATGTGTCCAAGTTTTTAACTTGAGAGTTTTTGCGGAGCTTACTACATGCCACAGTAATGAAGACCGTGATCGATTTTGATTAAGAACATAACCTTCATTTGTTGACGAGTTGACAGATGTTATATTTAAAATCGTGCACATCTTAAGTTTTCCCACAATTATTACAAAAAATCGTGCTGGTAAAACACGACAATTCTTCGAATTTTCTTTGCGAAAAGACGTCTGCATATATCAAAAATATCTTGAATTCAGTTGTTGGTTATAATCTAAATAAATAAATATTTAATATTCTAAATTTTTCCTATAACACAATAATGTAAACATGTTATACATGTCATCTAACATTAACATATACATATATTTTTAAAACATAAATATTATATAACTATAAATATATTAACATAATATAATATGTATTAATTAACAGCTATTGTTTTTTTTTGTATTTTTAATCGATCTATTCTGTTGATGATTCTGATAATGATAAATAATTAAAACTATATAATTATATGTATGTATGGTTTGTAAAATAACGGAGTTAGGGTAAAATGCATGGTATACAATGTATGGTTGGTTGGTAGGTACAATTTGCAATTATTGTTTTTTTAGACACATCAAAATCAACACTGACTATTTAAAGTTATATAATGCAGGAAGTAGTTCAATAGAATTGCTTTGTTCATCTAGAAGATAAAAAGTGAATTTTAAGAAAATATCGAGGAAAGTTCCCACAGAGGTCTTGTACAAATAGAAAATATGCCTAAGAGGAAGTGAAATAGAAATCCAAAGTTGGGCGCCATTATCTACATCTCCTCACCCAAAACCAAACTAAATATATCAGACCCTTTGAATGTCCTATAACAGTGGATAGTGTGCCTGGCTACAAAACCAATGTGTCCCGGGTTTGAATACCAGGGAGGAAAAAATCTATCGAATAGATTTTCGAATATTTGGAAGAGCGGTTTACATCCTCCTCCAGAAAAAAATGCATCCGGAGCCCCCTATCATTCTAATAAACGAACCTCAGCATCAACACTTGAGTATAACACAAAGTAGATAGGCAACTTATAGGAAAATGACAATATATAAATATGCAAGAGACATTCCACAAACTTCAAAGAGGGGTTGTTCCTAGGATACGATACGATACGTCTTCCCTCATTTTAGGCCATGTAATAGGGATAAGTAAATCGACTAATCGATTAGTTGACTTTTTGTATTGAAAAGTCCAAAAGTCGAAGTGAACTTTTGATTTTTAAGGAAATCGAAAAAGTCGGTTTTTCAAGATCGGCTTTCGATTATTTTCATTAATACATGGTTTATTATCACAAAGCAAAAATTGCCCAAAAATTACACATTCCGTAACATTATTTTATCTGTTGACAACAATTCACAAAATCGAAAGATCGAAAAGTCGACTTTTAAGTCAAAGACAAATATCGAAAAGTCCAAAAAATCAGGCAACATCAGATCAATTATCTACTTAGCAAGAATAAACAACAACGGTTAACGAAACTAACTTAAGGACTAATCGGTAGAAATTAGAAGTAACCAGTAAGGAAAGTAGCAAAGTCGGACTGGGCCGACTATATATAATTGTATGTCAATTCTCCCTCGAAGGAACATACTCATGTCTTTCTGCAACCTATGATAAATTTAATTTCATTCGGGCAGATTTAGAGACGTCTGCGTACCATGGGACAAATTTATGGAAAACTATTTATAGCATAACTAATACACGCTATTCGGTATGCCGCACTGTTAAAAATTTAATTTCAATCTGATACCCGTTCGAACAAACATCAGGAGTTGGGTGCACCATTGATGTAAAATCGAACGAAAATATATATGGGAGCTATATCTAAATCTGAACGGATCTTCATGAAACTTTACGTACGTCATTCTAGGCCTACTTCAGTACGCTATGACAAATTTCGTTATTTACCTTAAATTTTACCTTAAATCGGACGAAAATATATAATGGAGCTATATCTAAATCTGAACCCATTTTCACAAAACTGAGCGCACTTCATTATAGACTCAATTTAGTACGCTAGGCAAAATTTCGGGCAAATGGAAAGATATTTAGGGACTTTGGCGCACCATTTACCTTAAATCGGACGAAAATATATATGGGAGCTATATCTAAATCTGAACCGATTTTCACGAAACTTAGCACACATCATTCTGGACCCAATTCAGTACCCTATACCAAATTTCGTGCAATTTAAAAAAATATATAGGGACTTTGGTGCACCATTTACCTTAAATCTGACGAAAATATATATGGGAACTAAATCTACATCTGAACCGATTTTTCCCAATTTCAATAGGGTTCGTCCTGGTGCCAAATAAATGAGCTGTGCCAAATTTCATCCAAATCGGATGATAAATGCGACCTGTACTTGTTTACAATTTAACATTAAAAGTCGGACGGACAGGCGGACGGACATGCATAAATCGACTCAGAAAGTAATTCTATGCACATTCTGAAAAGGAACCATGAGTCTATCTCGTTTCCTTTTGCCTGTTACAAACATATGCACAAAGACGTAATACTCTGTACCACAGTGTGGTGAAGGGTAAAAAAATTCAAACGTTGGGCGCCATTATTTAAATTAAGGAAAAAATCACTGGCCACCAGTGGTTCCCCTACGTATAAAAGCAGTAAGCAAGGGGCCGTAATGGGACGTCTGTCCGACTTTGTGGCGACTCTGATAGCTTCCTAAAAAATTTTATTTCCAAATCTACGCCTCTGATAGCCTCCTAAAAAAATTTTATTTCAAAATCTACGCCTCTGATAGCCTCCTAAAAAATTTTATTTTAAAATCTACGCCTCTGATAGCCTCCTAAAAAATTTTATTTCAAAATCTACGCCTCTGATAGCCTCCTAAAAAATTTTATTTTAAAATCTACGCCTCTGATAGCCTCCTAAAAAATTTTATTTCAAAATCTACGCCTCTGATAGCCTCCTAAAAATTATTTTAAAAACCTGCGCCTCTGATACCCTTCCAAATTTTTTTAAAAATGCTTCTGATAGCATTTTCAAAAATATTTTAAAAATATTCCTTTCGAAAAAATATTTTCAAAATCTACGCCTCTGGTATTTTTCTAAAATAATTATTTTAAAAATCTACGCCTCGAATTACTTTCGAAAAAATATTTTCAAAATCTATCCCTCTGGCAGTTTTCTAAAATAATTATTTTAAAAATCTACGCCTCTGACAGTCTTGTAAAAAATATTATTAAAATCTAAGCCTATGTAGTCTTCTAAAATAATTACTTTAAAAATGTACGCCTCTGATAGTCTTCTAAAAAAATTATTGTAAAATCTAAAGAAATTATTTTAAAAATCTACGCCTCTGATAGCCTTCTAAAATAATTATTTTAAAAATCGACGACTCTGAGAGTCTATTAAAAAATTTATTTTAAAAATATACGCCTTAAATAGCCGTCTACAAAAATTATTAAAAAAACTACGCCAATCTACGACTCAAATATTCTCCAAAATATATCCAAATTGTGTCCTACATAGAGACCAACCTCCAGGTATCTTTTACATGTGGAAATCTACTCAGGAGAAGATCTTTGAATACCCTTTGAAGATGGTAATTTAATCAGAGTTCTTCTTCGTTTAGATACCCTCCTAAGGTTCTTTTATTTAGGAGCGAATATATTTTTATAAAAAATCAATAACGTTGGGCGCCATTTTGTATATAAAAACAAATCAAATCGATAAACCACCTCTTCCTGCATTATTAACACAAAAATGTTACCAATAAAAAAAAACAGTTCTATTTTCCTTTCAAATTTCCTTAGACCACAATCGGTGTACGAACATCTAATGTCTTACTATCGGTCAATGTCGATGACAGCGAACACGATGTATTGTTGTTATTAACATTGCTTTCAATATCGGCATCATCGTCACCATCATTTGTGCTGCTACCATTCAATGTTCTCGATGCTGTTGTTGTTGTAATGGTTGTTGAGGCGCTGGTAATGGTTGGTGTTGTTGCTGTAATGGGCGATGGATTGTTGTTATCTTCAATGGTAAAGAGTATAGCTGCCGGTATACGATGTACTTCAACAATTTCGGTAATTGTGATACCCTCATCGTCATCATCGGTCTCAAGCTGAGAATGAGGATAATACAATTGTAGCTGTGGTGGTTGACGATGCTGCTGGCTAACACGTTTAATTATTTCACAGAATGGTGGTGTTGGTGTTCTCACTCCATACATTGATGACGATGATGTTGCGGAACTGGCCGATGTGGATGGTGTAACAATGAGCTCCTCGAAAATCGGTTCAATCTCATCGCTGGTGATCGGTGAGAGATTGGTGGTAACGGTTTTGGAAGTACTACTGCTGTTGCTATCATTCGCCGATGCGTTCAACTCGTTCAATTCGGCCATCATCTGTTCAAAACGTACATGAGCCACCTCATCACTATCGCCATCGCCGTCGATGCCGGCATTGAGAGCATAATAGAGATTTAGTTCGTCGGCATCGGTGCCGAAGACACTCTTGAATTGTTGAAATAGCTTTTGAGTGTCGGCGTCGACGGTGGCGCTGGTGGTGTTACACTGGCCAATATCGCCATCCAGCTGATATTGTTGTGGCGGTTCGTTTGTAGTCCAAATAAAAAATTCATTTGAGCAATCTTTTTCACTTCGTTGACCTCGTCAAACTTTTTCGGTTGTTTTTGATTTTGTTTTTGAGGGTGTTAAGTTGGTGGGAAAACTGTAACCAAAGAGAGGGAAAGAGAGGGAGAGTTAAATAGAAACATTGTAAGAGAGAAATAATCGAAATCTTTACCCTTTATTTATGGAACCGGTCTGGGAATCATCATTACCGGTCTTGGAGGTTTGCGTTTGTGTAGAAGACATATTATTTTTACTGAATGGGGCCTGGAATGATGTTGATGTTATGGTGAAATAGCCACCGGGTTTCGGTTTCAAATGTCGATTATTGATTTGCATATGTACAGTCTTCATAAATTCAATTTGATGAGCTAATTTTTGGATTTGCTCCTAAAACAAAAGAAGGGAATGATTGAAGAAAAATCTTTAAAATGAGGTTGTAGAATCTTACCTTAAGTTCCTCATTTTCCTGATATAGATCAGGTGATTCATCTGGCACCAGTCCCACACCGTTAAGCGA